AAAAACATCAGGAAAGTAAGAATAAAAATTACTTGCTCTTACTTGATCAGATTTTCAACAACAGAGTATGTCCTAGCAATGACAAGACCTACAGTCGCCCCATCCCTAGGATGAAGGACTGAATTTGCAGTGCAAGAATGACCAGGTAAGACGGTACCAGAAACAAGTGGGGAAAGCATGAAACTTTTTTATTCTGCGTATTTAGGAGGCAAAATCAAATCTTGCTGGCTTTTCTAATACATGGGAAAAGGTGGTGGGACAGCGAAAGACTAACGGTTTAGTACTTTGCACCATGCATATACTGGAGCCATTGCTTTAGGCACATAGCAGAAGCAGGGTTACAGGTGAGTGTCTCAGCATGTGACACAGTTTTTTTCACCCTCCTATGTCTCAGCCTGTCCCCTGGGAAGGTGTCTGTGGCCACTGCAGCACTGTCACTCCGTGCCCTCACGCTCCCTCTCTCCAAACTGTCCTGCAGGCATGGCTCACCTGGCTGCTGAGCACAGTTTCATTCTGGATTTTAAGGCATCAAAATCTCCATTCCAATTATCTTGCAGGGGCACCACTGCTACTCCTTCAGGCTGTGTATAAGCTGGAATGAGTCCTGTCTTCATAACTGGCCAGAGGCCCTCATCTACCTACTGTGTCCATAAGCCCAGATGTGTATCCCAAGCACGACCAAGGTCAACCTGACTCAAAGTAAAAGTCTGCCCCATGGGAACAGCATGAAATAGCAACTTTCCATTAAACATTATTCTCTGTTACTGGGAGAAAAATCTTGTGAAGAGGGTAATCCGCAAGGTACTATAATGTAGGAAGTAAGAATTTGGCTAGAAAGGTGTAATAGCAAAGCCCTCCCCAAAAAACAGCCTAGGAGAAGAATGGTAGATCTGTTTAAAAATAAATAAAAGGATGGTGACAAGAGTTCAGAAGGCTGAAGGGACTGACACAGGGAAAGATTAATAGAACTGATTATTTATATGTTGAAAACCTGCCAGATACAGGGGAAACATCCAGAAGTGATGGAACTGCACAGAGCCTGAGACAGGGAGCCTTTGTTGAAGGGTGCAACCAGCAGTTCTAAGATGATATTGGAAGCGATGAAAAATGCTGGCTGATCATCTGTAGAATCTGACAGCGAGATCAATGACACTGTCTTAGACATAAGGACTATTTGGATAACACAGTGAGGAAAGGGGTCTCTTAGCCTACCGACAAATCAAAAGTTTGTTTCTCCACTCCTGAAACGTCAATGACAGGGCAAAGCAGTGGAAAAAATATATGGGAGAAAGGGAGAGTCCTGCCTGGGCAAATGTGATGCAAGAGCTCTTCCTCTCTAAAGTCTGTGAAAATGGCTTTTATGAATATGCAGAGGAAACAGATGGAGCCTAGCTATCCTTGCAATGTGACTACTTCTCCTTCCCTGTCTTTCACTTATTCCTTTGATCACAGAGGTCGTGTCTCTTGCATTGGTCCAGAAAACAAAGTTCTCCTAAGGAGAAGTCTGGAGTTTAGGCAAGGAGAGTCTATGCTCAGCCAACTCGGGCGCTCCTCTTGCTCAGCTGGGAGCTGTCACAAAGACATCAGGTTGTCTGTAGTCTGACTATTCATTTGAACGATGTACTACTACTTAAAAGCACATTGTACTAACCATGCTCTCAGCAGTCAAAAGCAACGTGATGGCATGTAGCCTGAACCAATGTTGTTCAGCTGCCCAGGTCAATGATTTCTTGGTGAAATCATTGATTAATGGATGCTTGCGGGCCAAAGGATGACTACACACCAGTTGTGTTTTGAGGATGTATGGGAGCCAGATTGCTGGACTAAGATGCATTGGCAGAGTCCTGAAACCAGAAGGAAGGCAGTAAATAGGATGAAATCATACTAGCAGGGCTGGGGTGTGAGAGGCTTGCCTGGCTCCCCCTGTAGCACGCTTAGAGCTTGTCAGTCCTGAAGTCATTTGGTGAGCCCCCAAACTCATGTGTACAGCATATGAAACAGGCAGACTGTTTTATCTGTGAGGTGTTGAATAATAGCTGTTGCTAATGGTCTCTTCTGACATCCCAAACCACATTTCAGAATAAAGACATTCACAGCTGGGGCTGCTAATTCCTTAATCACCAGTGGTTCAGGCTGAGAGGTAGGGTCACCACCTTCCTCTAGAAATCAGTCTGTCTGGGTCTGAGCGATGGTCAGTGCCTGGCATGCTCACAAACAGCTTGGACAGGGCTGGCCAGCCCCGCTCCAGGCTGGCTTCTTCCCAGGCCCTGCCAGGCTCCTAGCAGGGGCTGTGGCTGAATTAGTGATTCAGATGGAGGCCAGTCACTGCAGGCGGGCAGTAAAGATGCTACCAGCTGTACTCCGAAACCTGCTCTGTCCATGGCTGCTGTCTGACAATTCACCTGTTGCCACAGAAAGCTGGGCTAAAATTTTCGGTCTCTGTTCCTTTCCAACAAGATTTCTAGTTTTTGTAATAGTGAAGGGAGAAAAGGACCCTCCACAGTGCCAACTGGGCCCAGTGGACTTTGAGTCTGCAGAGTCCAAAAATACAAAACAAAATCCAGAATCCACGGGGGTGACAGCTGCTTCATTCATGCAAGTGGTGGCACCTCTGGCCTGCAATCCCGTGGCAGAGGAGCGCTTGTGCTGTGGAGCTGCTGGCAGGTTCAGCTCAGGACCTGACGTTTTGGTTTCTGTGTCTCTGTCCTGCTGGAGCGTGTCAGTTGTTGCCTCTCACTCCTTGGCTTCCCCCACGTAGGGTAACTTTTGGATTAAAGTATAAGCTCTTTGCTTACAGGAACAAAGCAGTGGGGTTCAGGGGAGCCAGGTCTGGAGATTGCCCCTCAGCTAGAGAATTTGGGGAGCCCAGGTCCATGCGTAGCTGTGATCAAGAACTGTAGTGGTATGCACGCCTGTCACAGGCATATGGGGCACATAGATGGGAGGGGGACTACATGGCAGAAGAATAACTTCATTTTGCTGTGGAAGGGGGAGTTGTGTCCATGGGAGTTGGCTCTTGTGTCAGAGGTATGACTATAGACGTGTATCCCTTTTTCTTTCGGCTGTAGGTTTCCAGGGACGGGACAGCGGGATGGAGCAGGGCTTAGCCCTCGCTGACGCAGCATGAGCTTCTGCCACAGTTAAATGGCTGCAGTTTGCTTCCCTATGGGCCCGTTCTGTTCAAAGCTGCATCCACCCCATCTCCAACTGCACATCTGTGCTATCTAATATTCTCTTATCAGAATATCATTGATATTTATATGAAGATGTGATGTGCCTGCGGTAGACAATACACCAGCCATTTATATTCCATTTATTTTATGAGTTTGGATTTCCCCCACACATAATACATCCCACTAGTCAATGTACCACAGCAATAAAATAGGGGAACATTTCCTTCCTTCTCGTACTCCCTGCCAAAGTTATTAGATGCCTGATGCTCAATCTGGAACTAGTGACTTATTTAAGGTCTGCTATCCTGTGCCTTTCCATCGTAAGAAACTTGACCTTTAATCATGCCTCATATTTTCTAATGCAGCTGCTTCTTTTCAGTACTTATCTTTCAAGGATACATTGTTATTTCCTTGTTTTTGATTACTTTTAAAATCATTTGAATAGGTACAGCTCAATATAGAGCCAGGTGCATAGATGTGTGCGTGTGCTATATATACTTGGGCAGTTACAACTGGAAAGCTTTGCAAAATGTTCCGAGACAGCCATAGATCAGCCTGACATCTAGATCATTTCCAGCTCATTCCCCCCGGCAGTATCGATGGCCCTGTCAGCACAGCTGTGGCCACTCAGTCAGGTGTTTCAGCAGAGTCCTGGGGTCAGAGCTCTTATGCCTCCAGGACACCTGAAACCACAAAGCGTTGGCAGAAAAAGTGTCATCTTGTCCTTACTTGATGCGTCAACATGGAAAGCCCTGCTGGCGACGTGCTCCGCCGGGGCAGGCTTCGGATGCCAGCAGCCCATGTGTATGAAACACTGCTGACACGAGCAGCCAGCGACAGCTGACGGCAGGAGCTGCGGGGGCGGCCTCGGGGGGGGGGCGG